GTGGTAAGAAGAAGGGCAAGGGATGAGACAAGTTTAGTCGTAAGCGGTGTTACAGCTGTGGAAGTCTAGACACTTTGTAAAGGTCTGTCCCAAGAAGAAGGATAAGCAAAAGGGTAAGATAAGAGTTGAGACGAATGTGGTAATAAGGTCGACTGATGACCTTTGTGAGGTTTATTGAGAGTAAACCTAGTTACTGCATGTGTGTGATTGATTAATTCTGTTGCATGATAATATGTTGCATTTCAATGTGTTTGATATGTGTGTTTCCATGAATTTGATAGCAATATGATTACTCGGTGTAAATGTTTGAATGCATAGTGGGTTTGAATGCATTAGCAGTGTATTGTATATCTATTGGTAATCTGGAGTATAGATGTCTAGATATACATTGGTGGTTTGTACTGGGGATGTGGAGTGTGACGTTTGGATCATGAGTGGAGAGATGATTAAATGTTGAAATTCTTTATCTGTGAAGACCCTGATCACGTGGAGTGTGAGAGATGCACTTCTATCAATTCTATTAGGTGGAGACTCATTATTCACTTAGGTTGGGAAACGTGATGTGGTGACAGAAGATTATCTTGAGGACTTAGGATCTATAGAGGTTTACCAGTTAGACATGAGTTGAGTAATTAGTCTAGTGAGTAGGGTGGGCGATAAGAGGAGATATGTGTTCTTGAGGTGTGAGTAACATGGAATGAGATATTATAAGTGTTGTGAGATCTTTTTGTGTGGTCATTTATGCATTTGTTGCACGTGTTTTGACCGTCTGTTGATTAACTTAGTGTTAATATGTTGTTCTGTATGAACGTATCTGTTGAAAAGATCTATGGATTATCCTATATTATATATTCATCGTATGAATATTTGCTCTTGATTGATTTTTGTGATTATTTGCTTCTATTTGGGTATTGTTGACCTTAGCTCTAATGAGTACATAGAATAAGTATTGGTTGCCTTGATTATACAAGCATTAACTTTGTATTCTGATTGCTTGTGGTTGATTGGGTATCAATGTGTAGATTTGTTGGGTTTTGATACCCAATAAATCTCAAGTTATGATGTAAATGTTGGATTGAATTTCATAGGCATTGATCAATGAGTGAAATTGTTACCAACAATCGGTCCAAAGGCTCGACCGTAAACAATATGGATCGTTGGAAGTAGCTTAAGAAATTAATATTACTCACGACCCATAAATATTTACTTATTGGATGACTTTGAATCTTGATCAGTTTAACCTTATTATTGGTCTAACTAAAGTCTAACCTACTCCTATTTATTTGTTGCATTTACCTTAGTTGTTAGTGTGTGATTTGTGTATGAAAGTGGAAAAAACGTGGTTGCTCCTTTGCTGAAAATCAACTGCCATAGTTGAGAGAAAATTGGTGTCTTCATCTTGTGTATTTTGATCCATTCTCTTGCCTTCTTCCGTTGTTTTTCTCTTGCTTTTGTAGCCTACAAATCATCACCGTTATATTGTCTCTTATGGGTGAGATTGAGAAAAATCAAGGTAAATATTGGTTGTGAATTGGAGTCGTTTGGATTGGTTGATTGGTGGAGAAATTGTAACATGAAACTTAGCATGGAAAACGTTGTTTTGAAGATGACATTAAAGAATTTTCCTTTTTTGGACAATTTGGTTGATAGGCATAGACACTTAATCCATGTTTGGTAGAAATTAAAATTAGATTTTTATCAAAATCAAAGTCAAAATCAACAATTAATTTCAATAACATATTTTATGGAACTCACAATTTTTAACTATATATTTTATTAACTTTTATAAAAATCTTTTAAAAATATGATTTTAATGACCACTAAACATTCACTTAATGTCTAAATTCCATTAGATAGGACACTCACGCTATTAAAATATCAAGGACATGAATACCACAAATCAAATCGAAGGTTGAAGAAATAACTACTACACCTTATCGAAGGCTTGGAATCTCTAAAGAAATTTGCCCTTTTTTATTTCACAAAATATGAGTTCTTTGCTTGCTCAACTTCAAGACTAACTTGAAATAAGAATAGAATATACTTTTATATCAGCCTTCACTTTGTAAAAAAAATTATAAGCGATTTGATTTATATAGATGGAAATGACGGTGTATTAAGTTTGGATGGAGGTTGGTCAGAGGAACTAGTTTGTCTGCCTGTCCAAAGCCAAGTATGTCCAAGGAGTGATAAATTTGTGGATTCATCGAATTTTA